CGCGAGGACAGAGAGCGTCCGGTGGCTTTCAATGGCAACACTTTTCTCATGTTTTCCAACAAACCGTAAGACAATAGACGGACACAAATCTCGAGTCTTTTCTAACGAATGTATTTATTTAAATCTCCAGGAATTCAAACCAATGGCCGGAAATAGGGTTTGGATTCCTATGAAATGAACTTTCTTTCAGACGACATAACTATCTCTCTATTCGCAGAATCGACGGCCAAAAGGAGAACCGCTTCGAAGTGCGTCTTCTGGCGCGCGGACGCAACGGAATCGTGGTTTGGCTCTCGAAAGGTGCGACGACGGACACCGACTACCTGTCGCTCGCTGTGGTCAACGGTTCTATTGAGCTGTCCTTCAATTTGGGCGCTCAGAAAGACCTCCTTTTCGCGCGCAGTGACCGTCGCGTCGACGATCATCGCTTCCACTCTGTGCTCGTGCATCGGACCGAGAGAGCGGCCACTTTGCGAGTGGACGACGACCCGCCCGTCACCGTGGAGTCAGAGGCCGGCGCCAACCGACTCGACACCGATGGCGTGCTGTGGATCGGCGGCTCTCCCGGACTGCCGACTGGTCTTCCGCCGCACTACTACTCGGGATTCGACGGTTGCGTCGAATGGGTTCGAGTGGACGGCGAACCGCTCCCACTGTGGAGTCACTCGACGGCCAGTCGTCTCGAGTTTTGCTGACAATTTGCTGAGAGCTGTGATTTATTTTATATATACTTTGGTTTCAAATGAAATGTTTTATTGGTTTGAAATGAAGAGTTGTATCATTAAAACGACTCATAGTTTTGACCGAAAGCTTCCGTAGACTTCAAGGTCAACGGCAAAGTCTTCGGGATTCGCGACAACAATCTTATTGGCGATTCGAGCGATGGGATGAGCGTCGGGGTCTCCAGCAGTTTGGTCTGCACCGACGGAATGGCCAGAGGCTTGCTTGCGAAGAACGGCAGTTTGTTGGTCAGCACCGGCACTTCGAGGCCTTTGACGCCGAGGCCGAGGCCTTTGACGCCGAGGAGTGTTGGCTGCGGACCCGGGCCGTACTTGAGAGCGATCTCTTCGGCGGGCGGTTGGGACGAAAGCATTAGTACGTCGGCTGAGTTCTTGCTCTCAGTTCCTGGTTCATTTGTTTGCACCTTGTTCAGTTCAGTTCACAAAAGTTCAGCTCACAGTTTGTGTTGTGGTGTTAAGACAGACAGACCTGAGCTCTGAAGCCGTTCTCGTCGGCGATATAAGAGACGATTCTCTTGATTCCGTCGGCGGAGACCACGGAATACGAGCCGCGAACCACTCCCGAAGCGTCGGCCGATTCCTGACGCGACGACCCGCCGTCGATGGCGTCTGCGCTGTAGCTGAAGGCGTACGGAGAGATGGGCTCCGCATCGACGGCCACATCGCCGACGAGGGCCAACGACTTGCGGCCGATTTGGAACGCGTGAGACACGACAACCACCGATAAGAGCACCTGAAGGACAGTCACGCGTGAGAGGAGCGGACAGACAGAGAGAGAGAGGAAAGACTCACCAAAAGTTTCATTTTGATGCAGTAGTCGCGCGACAGACGCTTATATATAGAGGGAGAGGACGCTTCGGGCGATGGCGTCAGGAATTGGGTCACAGAGAGGGAGAGTCTGTGTCCCGAAGGCAGAGATGTTTTCGCGCAAACAAAGACTCGATTTTTAGGTCAAAAGAGATTTATTTCGAGGAAATGAATACAAAAAAACGAATCCAATAATAAATAGCAAAATCCCAAAAAACCATTTAATTAATTAAACGCCTCTTTTGGTGGACCCGCGAACAGCGCCGGGGAAGGCGCCGCCGCGCGCCGGCGGAGTGCGAGTGCCGCGACCCGAGCCGCCCCTCCACGTCGGCGTCTGACCGTTGGGTCGCGGCCCGAGCGTCACCCTCTCCCTGTCCATCTCGAGCTCCTCCAGCTTTTGTGTTAACCTATCATATGAGCAAACATTGAAATCCTGGAAATACATTAATAGTGAGAAAATTTTTTGCCCCAATTTCTGTTGGATTGCGATTCTTAAGAGACTGTTCAGAGTCTTCTTCTCGTCCTCCGAGCTCTTGAACTGTCGCTGCAATTCATCGATTTGCGAGACGTATTCCTCACAGCGGGCGGCGAACATAGACCGCAACGACTAGAC